ACCATTATGACTATCAAATGTGCATGTCTCTTTTCTTAATCATTAATAGGAAATTCAGGCAATGAGTAGTGACTGAACTGGAGCCAACGCGGGGCAAATAAGAAACATATATATTGAAAAGATATATTCTCAAGGAAACAGTGAAATTTGCATGCCACAGTAGACGAAGTATTTTATCTTAAACAAAGGGGAGGTGGAAAAAAAAAGATGTACATAAACATGTCTAGGCAGAAATATTCTAGAAGTGGGTTGAAAATGCTTAGTAGCCAGGAAATGATGTATGACGCTTATTGAAGAAAATAGAAAAACTAGAATGGACATGTAGGTTTAATACAGTATCCCGCAGGAAAACATACTTCTACTTGTATTACTTCTGTTTCAATTGGACCTGTGACCTGAAAAGGATACTTATAGTAGTAATACTAATGCTCTCTGTGTGAATCTTACATTTATATCCTACTTGATGGCCAGGCATAATTTCAATATTATTACATTATTATTTACATAATTATTTTTCATACTTTTTTTTCTTAAGGATAACCTCTTCAGTATGAGAAATAGCTTCCATCTTTATAACAAAAGTGTTAAGGTTTATAGATTGGAATGTGAGTTTAACTGAATTCTGACAGAGACTTCTGCCCCCTGCCATGATGTTAATTTGCTCTTTTTATATAACATCCTCTAGTTTCCAGTCAGAACTGGCCAAAACACTTTTTTTAAGTTGTTTTTTTTTAAGTTGCAACCCAGGGTTCCATCTCCTGGGAAATAAAACCCTCTTACCAGCAAAGAATAAGTATCTCTTCATTTTAGACAACACTGACTGTGTTTTCAAGTGCTTTCTAGGCAGTCTTTAACCCAGGTAATGGACTATGGTGCTGTGGGTTACAAAGAGATAAAATCAGAGAGGAGGCGTGTGCAGGCATGTGCAGAGTCTCTGTGGTAACAGCAAAGATAACACCAAGAGGCAGTTTGAAATTCAAGACATAAGCTGGCATTATGGGAAAGCGAATGAGGGAAAGCAGTTGACAGACTGATTGGTCCATAAATAGTACTTGGCCATGATTCATCTTAACCATATTATCAGTGGTGAGATTCAGCCGGTTCGCATCAGTTTGGCAGAATCAGTAGCTAATTTTTTTGTTGCCCAGGCCCAGAACGGACTTCCGGAAGTGGCATCCACACAGACAACCGGTTGTTCACACATTTGAATCCCACCACTGCATATTACATAAGCCTTGATGGCTGCATTTGTCCAACTAGCTAATGCAAATCAAAGCAACCACATTAGCAACTTGGTGTGATGACTGAATCCAGTTATTAAATGGAATCCAGGACATTTCTTAATAGCTATAACTGCCCTACAGCCAGCAAAGCACAGCTGAACTAAAGGAAAGTCTTTGTGGAAATCACTGATACCTTGCAATCATTATCTCATTCTGCCTCCAGATATAACTGCAAGAGGAAGAGGGGGGGGAATACTGTGTTCTACTCTTTAACCATGATGACATTAATGGTTATATATCCTTACTTTAGGATAAATTGATAAATTGACACAAATGATTCAGGATATCAGGGCAAAAACCAGCTATAACTGATTGAAAGCTTTAGCATCCAGAATAATTCTTCAGGATGGAACTAAGCAACAGCAAAACAACAAAAGCACAAACCTCAATCACAAAGGAAAGAGGAGAGAAAACCTCCAGTTTTGGATTACATTTTATTTACCTAGTTTGTTTGTTTGAAGTATTTTCATCCCAGCCTTCATCCTGGGAGACTAAGGCAGGATGCAAGAGAGATTTTTAAAACATGATAGCAATTCTTCCAAACTTTACCAGTAAAATTATAGAATAGCTCAATAAAAACAATCACAAAAATATAAAAGCAGCAGTGTGCACAAACAAATGGCATGGTACTGTTGAAAGTAAAGTCTTCATCCTGGTTCATCCAAGCCGGGAATAAATAAGCAACATGGCAATTGCTTTGGGAAGAAGGTTACAGTTTATTGAAGAGGCAGAAAGATGGATCTTGCAGGAAAGACCAGAGGAAAGAAGGACCTGAGCACATGGGCAGTAGGTTTTTATACCCTCTCTAGCCTTTTGTTTGGAAGTTTCCTGTTCCTGTGGCATGAACTTTGAACTGAGTCTGAGTGCTTTTCTAGGCCTTAGTATCTGTGGTTTAATCCTATTATGTCCCAAAAGTCATATCCTGCTTCCCTGGGGCTGGGCTAATGACTCTTAGAGTTTGGGTAAGGTATGCAGATTTTAAGTCTCTTTGTCTTCTTGAGTTCTCTGGTTCCAACTTTCTGATGGTTTTACATTTGCATTTGTATAGGGCTGGCTCCTGCTTGGGGACAGATTTGGGGCCAGGGTTGGTTTCTGCTTTTAAAAATCCTTTTGAGGAAAAATATATTTTTCTGCCCTTTTAATATTTCCTTCTCTGGGGGGCTCTGACTTCCCACAGTACTTTTGAAACAAATGATCCTATTAGTAAATTCAGAGAAAACTAGTCCAATCAGAGTCATATTTTGTGAGATGGACAATTATATAAATTTGATTCATAAATACAGAAAATATAGTTAGCCTGGTATAAAAAGATAGCAACGACAGATTTATTTCATCATCTTTATGTGGTACTCACTATGTGTATATGTAAGTTTCTATGTAATTACTCCTCTTGTTAAGCATCTAATGATGTGGAAAGCAATGATAGTTTTGTTGATCCATTAAAACAAATCTATTTTTCATAGTATAGGAGAGCCATTTTGGATTGTTCTCAGTAAAAGTTTTTCTCTACTAAGGATATTCATTTTTCCCCTGCTAATAATTATTGAAGTTCCTCATTGATTCACCTTCTCATTAGTTTTTCTTGCTAATCTATAGATTCTTCCATTAGAAGAATCCATAAGTCTGGCAAGAAACTCTATAATCAAGAGTGAAAAGCCACATGACAATCACTATCAGATGTTCTAATATAACCGCAGACATTTATTTTAGAATAGTACTTTCATACATGAATAAATTTACAGTATATAGACACTGGATCTTTTGGGCAGGGAATAAAGGGCTCTGATTTTAATATATATGAGATTTGGGGTTTTTTTGTAAGCCTATACTAATTATTCATTTTAGAATAATTAGATTGGGAATATAATTAATGTGCTAGTCTAGGCCCTGATGTGCTGCTAAATGCCTTCTCAAAGCTTTTCTTATCTATTATGAGTCTCTGTTGGAGATTTGAGTCTCAACAAATCTCCCATCAGCACTGACAGAACAAGCCACTAGTACATTAAAAAGGAGAGCAAACCCCACTCCCTTCTAGCACTGAAGATGTTACCTAACTGGGTAGCAAAATGTCTGCAAGCAAACAACCAAGCTCAGAGAACATCAAGGACTCTACAGTCTCACTTTTATCCAGCCATCTTCAATCTGTGTCCTCTAAATGTCTTACACCTATAACCTTGAGAACGTCTAATTAACCTTATTGGCTAGTGTTTGGAAGTTGAGTCAGGGCAACTGGACTTCCTCTTCCTCGTCATCATTCTTTTTCTTCGCCTTGAAAAGAAGTTTCAGTTGCCCTGACTCAACTTCCAGACAACTCTGGATGACTGAGAATCTTCATTGATTTGCTGGCTTGCAATTCTGGAGAAGTCCTCAGGGAGAATGCCATTGTTCTCTATTCTCCTCCTCTATGCTGTTTCTTTCCTTCCACTTCTCTATGATTTGAGCTTTCTCATGTCTTCTTTTACAATTACTGGTGCTGGTTGCATGTAACCTCCTCACTTCTCTTTCCACACAGACCCTATTTCCTTATAAACTGAATAAGCACATGCATGTGTGTACATGTTTGTCTAAATATAGGTGTTATGATTTCATTTCATTCAAATGAAAAGAGTCATAATAATCAATGCTCCTCTCATCAACGGTTTCTCACCCCCACAAAAACACAATAGTGAAGTTATTTGATTGTCATGGTAAGGTTTGGAGTTAGAAAACCTTCAAAAATATCTTCCTTATTATGCATTTAAAAAAAGGGTCAAAATAGAAAATGCCACAAATCATGTGTTCAAATCTCATCCTTTTTTTTTTTACATGCTTTATGTAGTCCTGAGAAGGCTACATCAAACTGAATTATAATCCTGCTATGCCAATGATCTTGGGGCTACATTTGGTTCTCTGGCTAATTTCTCAGAACCTCAACCCCCAACTGAACATGCTTTAATTTTATATTATTATGTAGAAAATTAGTTCAGACTTCTGGGGAGATTAATCTGATCCATGCTGGTGGTGCAGAAGGAAAGAGAGAAAGAAGAGAGTATCAGGAAAGCAGAAGGATGTCAGGAAGAGAAAAAGAATGCTCCACACAGTTTGAGACTTGAGATCTTCCTGATAAATCAAGTGCTCAAATCCTCACCCTTCCTTTAAATGCAGTCTGCCAAATTGCTTCCAAAGGGCATGGTCTTCCCATGCTACCTACTATCTTTGGTTGGGCCAGGTAAAAGTGACCTTTTGTTTCTTAGTCCTCATCACTTGCCTGTATAGATTTTCTGAAAGCCTGCAACAAACTCTTGCAGCTCATCTTGTCTCATTCTCACATTGCAACTGATAATTGGTATTTTATGAAGCCAGATGGAATGCGCTCCCTACATGACCACCCTCCCTGCCTCTCCACCCATACTAACATGACAGCAGGATGGTGCCAGCAAGGATTCCTTCCAAAAGCAACTTCTTTTCTGGTTTGTTACTCAAAAGTCATACAACCCCAGGCTCCCTTCGAATTATTTATTGGGTTTTGGCAGGCTATCAAGGCTTACAAAATTAGTCTCAAAGCCAAAATATTTGGTGCCATGGATCTTGCCTGCTGACTGATGAAACACTGTTATTGCACTGTTCTATTCCATTTAATTTTTTGCTCCAGACTCCTGGCTTTTGATGAAAGAAGTTTTTCTCTCTCATGCACACTCTTTCTCCCCAGCATTCATTTACACTTATTTCCCCAGTGCATTATCCCAGCTCTCTGAGCAGAGCATCTACAAACATGTTCAAATCTTTGCTGTGACACTTTGTTTCTGTTAGAAATGAATTGTAGAATCAGGAGTAGAAGGGATTTACGAGATCCTCAATTTCAGGTCACAGCCAGAGGCATGAATTGCTTTAACCTCTCTTGGTCTATGCATCCTCAGCTCCAAAGACATTCCATATCACTAGAAATACCTTCATACAGCCACCACACAGAACAACTCAATAAATGTCTAGCTTGTCCTACATACCTTGAAACAACTTTTGCCAGCCTGCCACCATTCTTAGAATAAGCTTCATCTTCCCAATGGCTAGTCAAAACATTTCCGCAAGCATCTGGACTCCATAACCGCTTGCCTTGGCTACTTTAGAATGGACCCTTTACAGAATTCACCTTTTTGCTGGAAACCTTGTTTATTCTCCCAGTTCCTTGTGTCCAACTGCAATAATGTCTGAGGTTCATCACCTAATTTTGCCTGAAATTAAAATGGGAAATTATTTGGGAGACTTTTTGCTGAGGAAGCACGTGCAATGAAGTTTAAAAGAAGCAAAGTCTTTGGGGTTGGTTCGCACACAACTGAGGATGGCGTGCAAAATTTTAATAAAATCAGGATGTTGTGAGAAGTGTTTCTAGGAACATCCTGGTGGGGGAATGTCTGTAGCTGCTAAAGAAAAATTAGCCAAGATACAAATACAGACAAGTCACATTGAGATTACAGTATGGACTGGAGTAACTAAGGAACCCAAATACTTTTAAAAAAAGAACTAGAGTGTAAATTACTTATTTATGTCTGTTTCAGGGATGGCAGTTTACATCTTTTCTTGATAAATCCATAGTACCGGCCATCCTGCATCATCATTAGCCCGATGGTACACTCTTGAGCAGGCATCTTTCCTAAAAGAAGGGAGCAAAGGTTATTGTAATTGGAATACAAAGTTTGACATTTGTGGTCCTCCAGAGGCCAGGAATGACTAGGTTGTGAGGCTCAATGAAGGGGATAAAGAAGTTAAAGGAACCAAGAAAAAAATATTCAGCACCATGAGTTGTGAACAGCAAGGAAAACGTGAAGCTGAAAAAAACAAATCCAGAGAATGACTGCAGATGGACCACTATTTCAGTGAGGATAACACCCACAACCCAAGAAGAGAGGTCACAAGTACAGATAGGCCCTCAAGGTCTTAGGTTTGGGCAGATCTAACTCTTTGCCCTGGCAGTCCATATTTAAAAATGAACATTTCCAACATTTGCAACCTAGAATGTAAAATCTGTTCTTAAACTGAGAAAAATGAACAAGGATTGGAGAGGAACCTGGGTTTCTATTATTTAATTAGTAAAAGCTGAAGCAGTTTTGATCATTAAACATCCATTTTTCTTACAGAAATGGAACATTATTTTCATTTTTAAATTAAATACTGTAATGGACACCATAACATGATTTTGGCTTTTTTTAAAAAAAAAATTGATTTCACGTTATGTCAGAACCTTCATTCCACTAATGACAAGTTACCAGACAGTCATAACTTGCATGACATTTATTATACAACATGAAAGATTTCAAGAGGATCTGGGGGAGAGAGAAGTTGGAAGAATTGTGCCTAGCATACCGCTGTGATGACACATTTCAAGTTTCTTTTTTTGGGGGGGGGGGAGCATTCAAATAGAAAACTTTCTTTTAAACTTTCCTAATTAGGAGAAGTTAGTTGAAACTTTGAATGCTGGCATTATGACAGGTTCCTGTCTCCTGCCTGATTTTGCCATTGACACAGTACTCCTGGTCCTTGGGGGATGAGGGCTTGCCAAAATGTCCAAAAGCATGAGATTTAGGAGGACAATAACAAACAAAACTCTGAACATGAACAAGCCAGGCTCCACTATAATGGATACATTATAGATGAGAGATAGAGATAGAGACAGAGACAGATAGATACAGTAGATAGATAGATAGATAGATAGATAGATAGATAGATAGATAGATAGATAGATAGATAGATAGATAGATAGATAGATAGATAGATAGATAGATGATAGATAGATAGATAGATAGATAGATAGATAGATGATAGATAGATAGATAGAGATGTGTGTGTGTGTGTGTGTGTGAGAGAGAGAGAGAGAGAAAGAGAGAGAGACCCTGCCCACCCTGAGAGCTGCTTGCTGCCACCTTGTAATGGTGGAGGGAGGAAGGTTATTCCTGAGGGGGGGATGATTGAAGAACTCCAGGAGTGTGTGCCTTGAACATACAATCCCAACAGGATCACTTAAGGTATGAAGTTCATCCAACTGCAGTTATCCATATCAGGCAGCAGGAACATACTGGAGGTGGGTAACTGTTTTAGTGACAACAGCAAAGGCCTTATTTCATACTGTGATGGGAAAGGCAATGGTGAAGAGTGCCTGTATTTTACCAAGCAGACCACATGGTTAGAGAAAATGAAGTGATTGATGATACAGTGACCAGGATCAGCCTAATCAGGGTCAGATAACACTCAACAAGGTACTGAGGAAGACCTGAGGATTTTCTGGAATGCTAAGGGGATTGATGATGTGGTTAGGTTAAAAGACTTCTGGCCATCCAATTGCTAATCTTGCCATGCAGGAAAATAAAATCCAAAGCTGCAAACAGAGTTACATAGAATGTAAGAAGAATGAACATGAGGAAGTTCAAAACAGTGAAAGGTGAAATGAATTGACTAAAGTTGACAACTTAGGCAATATGGAGTGGAATACTTTCAATCAAAAGATTATACTATTTATTATTCAGAACACAAAAAGCAGAGAAAGAACACAATTTCTTTGACTGCCGGGAAGGATATAGTTAAGTCAGACAATACAGTCCTTTAATATGATAGTTATCGAAGTTTATGCTCCAAAAATTGATACGAAAAAAGAGGAAGATGGCAAGTTTTATGGCCAGGTTCAATCTGAAATAGGCAACATCCAAGCATGATAAAGGAATGCCAAGGCTGGAAATAGTACAGAGGATAACATAATTGGGCTGAATGATCTAGGAACAGAAATGAACTAGGAGAACAATTCATCATTTTCTGCCAATCTGGAGATGTATTAATTGTTATCACATTCTTTAGACATCTCAAGACATAATAGCAAAGAAATTTCATGCTCTTATTCAGATGCACTACAGCCGGGGTCTTCAAACTTGGCCCTTTTATGACTTGTGGACTTCAACTCCCAGAGGAATTCCTGGCTGAGGAATTCTGGGAGTTGAAGTCCACAAGTCATAAAAGGGCCAAGTTTGAAGACCCCTGCACTACAGTAACAGAATCTTTGCAAGCCTGATTATGCCTTACTTCCTCCCATTGTTATATTCATGAGTTAAAGGATGAGACATTTACACATACATTCTTATTTTTGACTTAAACCATATTTTGACCTTTGCTGGTTTGATAACAGACCACTCCTCTCTATATCAAGGTCATCCTCTTGACATTCTACACTTGGCCATGGGTTAATTATGGAAGAGATTATGATTGCTCATGTGTCAACTCCAGTCAAGCTAAAACTAAACATTTTCACAAAATGTTTGCTGTTTTCAAGGAGAACCTCAGTAATCGCTTTCTGTGTCCTGAACCTCACTGACAGAAAATTAGATGAACTATGGAATGCGATCAAAGTTTTTAAAGATAAATATGAAAAGAGACTGCCCAGTACCAAGAAACAGAAAAAAGCAAACTGGATTTCAGAACAAATGGTGGAAATTGCCAAGAACAGAAGAAAAACTAAAAGCCAAAAAAACTAATATTTTAGGAAGGAACTTAACGAAGAATTTCAGAATGCTGTTCGAAAGGACAAAGAACAGTATTACAAAGACATCTGTGAAGACATCAAAAATGGAAACAGGCACACAAAAATAAGGAAACTCTTACTAAAGAGGTTTCAACCTCAAACTGATTGGACAGTTAAAAAAAATCAAACAGAAATGGAAGGAGTATAATGAAATACTGTACAGTACACATGTCAACATTCAAGACACTTTAGAATATATTCTTTATTCAAAGAACCTCTAGTACTCGGAACTAAAATGATATCAGTACAAGGTCATTACTTTTGGATAGGATGACTGACCCCTCCCTTTTCTTCTTTTTTGTTCCCCTCTGGATCTATTTGTTTTAGGGAGGATATTGTAGTAGTAGTAGTAGTAGTAGTAGTAGTAGTAGTAGTAGTAGTAGTAGTAGTAGTAGAAGTAGTAGTAGTAGTTGTTCTAAAATGTTTTTAACAATTTGAACCACCCAGAGTTGCTGGGAGCAATAAATTATTATTAAACCATTTTAGAAGACTACAGGAAATAAACCTAGGAACATGATAGTCCAAATAAAATATCACAAAACACGCTGCTTCAGCAGATGAATGAGACAAGGTTATATATTCTCCTCTTCTTTATTCAAAATATATTGAGGGAGGCTGGATTGAACCAAAACCAGCAGGGTTTTAAACATGGATGAAGCAATTACCTGTGCTATGCTGGTGACACTACTCTGATAGATGGAATTGCAAATGATTTGCAATCTCTATTAATGAAAGTCCAGGAAGCACAGTGAAAAAAGGAACTATAATTAAATATAAAGACCAAACTAAAAGCAACAGGTACCACAATCGGCTTTAGAACTGACAATTGAATTGATGGATAGCCTCTGCTTTTAAGAATTGGCTATTAATAGTACAAGAACCAGTAGTCAAGAAACACCCTGCAGACTAGCACTTAGTGGGGTATCACTGATGATCTTGGAAAAGATATTCAGGTGCTGTATTCTGCCTATACCTATAAGGATCAAAATTGTGGCAGGTTTTTCCTGTGATACCCTATGAATACAAAAACAGGAACAGGATAGAAAAAATATTGTCGCTTTTGCATTTTAGTATTGGAAAAGACATTTGTGAATACTATAGATATCCAAGAAGACAAGCAATCTGACCTTATAACAAATCAATCCAGAGTTCAAACTATGATATTTTAGACACAAAATGCAAGGAACCAGTTCCCTTGAGAAGTCTGTAATGTTGGGAAAGTTGGAAGAAATGAAAATAAGAGGACAAGCAGGAGTAAAGTAGATGTTTCGGTACATCTAAAATGCCAGGATGGGGATACAGGCAGTCCTCAGTTAACAACCGCTTGTTTAGTGACTGTTCAAAATTATGATGGTGCTTAATTAAGGGAGTTACAAGCCATGCCCGAAGTTATGCAGCACTCTCACAGTAAAAATTTGGGTATTTGGCAGCACACTCGCCTTTACTATCCTTCTCCCTGAAGGGCTGCAGCAAAAATGAAAATGAGAGAAATATACCAAAAATATGTACTGTATATACAGTAAATAAAAGGTAGTCAAAGAGGATAAGGAAAGGTTAAAATCAAAAGAGGCAGAAAGATTTTGGTAAACATTTTAAAAATGTTTTGGAAGTGCATGCAAGGGTTAAATAAGGAACCCACTGCAGAGTGAATGGAATTAAAAATAAAAGCAATGAAATTATTTGGAATGGAACTGAAATTGAGGAAGTGGTGAAAGATGCATTTAAGGGATTTGTACAGGAAGGATAGTGATATGTCAAAGAATAGAACTGTGACAAATGCGATACATGTTAGTGCCCAAGAAAATAAAGATGAACAAGAAGTTACAAATGCTGCCAGAATGTTGAAAAATGGTAAGGCTACAGTGTATTGGGCAGAATTCTGACTGAAGCTATATCAGTGAGCAAAATTGAAAAGTGCAGAGTGGCTCAATAATCTTTCTGTTATTCAAAATTGTGTCGATACCATGAGAAAGTTAACTGTACTTTTGTTGAGTGAGAGAAACAGTATGATAAACTGTTTTGAACATTTGGGGAATTAAAGGGCGGTTGTTGAATGCATTAGAGTGGTACTGTATATGATGGAAGTATGT